GACGTGTCGTCGTTATAAGTAACATACGGTGATGCCGTGTACGATCAAGCTCGATACTCTTAATTTCGAGCTCTGCTATATGTGTCCTTCATCTACAGGCCTACAGACGTGGTGATGCTGGCTACCACGAGTGTTTCGCACAAAAAAAAAACAACTCAACCCCCCCAAATTTTCTTCTTTTTTTTTCCGTAGTACCCACTTTTACGCCACAACAAACACAACCCCCCCCCACCCTACAACCCTGCTCTCTCATCTCCTCTTTCTCTCCTCTCTCTCTCCTCTCTCTCTATCTTCTCTCATCTCTCTATCCTCTCTCTCTCTCTCTCTTTTCTCTCTCTCTCTCTCTCTCTCTACTCTCTCTCTCTCTCTCTTTCTCTCTCCCTCTCCTCTCTGCCTCTCTCCTTTTCTCTCTCTCTCTCTCTCTCTCTCTCTCTCTCTCTCTCTCTATCTCTCTCTGGAGGTGGCACGGAACGCTTGCAGACAGCACGGAATAATCTGGCACGCCACGGGTGAATTGGAGCAGGCTTGCAGGCGAAAGACATGATACGCGGTGTGGCCGACATGAAATGTTTTTTTATCACACGGAATGCCAGATTTGACACGAAACACTTGCTGCTCGAGATAGCACGGAACGATCAACATGACATGAAATGTTTGCCGACAACACAGAACACTCGAGGTGATGCGAAATGCTTGCAGACGACACATAATCATTGTAGATGACACAGAATGCTTGTAGACAACACGGAATGCTTGAAGTGACGTGAAATTCTGGAAATGACGTGGAATGCTTGGAGACAGTGCTGAACACTTACAGATGGTCCGGATGAAGTTTCTGTTGTGGATCGGGAAGACTGGCGATGCTGCGGAGATGGAATAGGCAATACAGCATGCGGTCGACCGATGTGGTGCTTCCTACAGTTTCTACCCTCAAGGATTGGACACCCCGGCTATTTCACTCACGCAGCCACTGCCTCGAGCCACCAACAGCGTCAGCGATATTGTTTGTCTTGCTATATTAATATCGCTAGACGGAGGTGCAGATGGAGACATGAGATAGAGGGGGGCATGGGAGGAGGGTCGATTCCCCGCAACATTGACTCTATGAGATTGAAAATTTTTATATACAATTTTATGGAATGGTTTCAGATGTGTGTGTGCGTGTGCGTGTGCGTACTCGAGAAAATCAGGTAACTCGAGAAAATCACGTGATAAAAATGGCTTCATTCGCAGCTGTAGTACACTCGAATTATTAAAAGCCGGAGATAAAACACTTACGCAGACGCACGCGTACGTACACTCACGAAAGAAAGCACGCACGAACACGAACACATACACACACGCGCGCGCGCGCACGCACATGCACGCACGGACGCACACACACACACACACACACACACACACACACACACACACACAC